TAATGGATATATTTTTCAACTTTTTTTTTTTTTTTTTAAGAGAGGGAAATGGGTGAGGGGGAGAGGGAGAGAGAGAATCTTAAGCAGGCTCCATGCCCAGCACTGAGCCAAATGCAGGGCTTGAGCTCAATAACCCTGAGATCGTGCCCTGAGACAAAAATCAAGAGTCACACACTTAACCGACTGAGCCACCCAGGAACCCCTGTTTTTCAAGTCTTTTAATCTACAAGTTCTCCCTTCATCCTTCTCTTTTCCTTACAATTTGTTGAAAACAACAGGCCACTTACCCTATAAAATTTCCCAGGATTTTGCTGATTGCACATGCATGCTACCTATTTTTTTACAGCTGTGCATTCTTACGTATCAATTTAATCAGTCCCCCTACTGATAAACATTGAGTAATTTTCAATTTTTACTATTACAATGATGCAGGAATATTTTTAAGCATGGATCTCCAAGTGTTTTTGCAGGACATTTACAGAGGGTCAGACTTTGAGCAAAGAATATTCCAGAATCTCCTGGTAATGCCACTGGAATGATGTAAATGAATAAATAGAAGGATTTTTTTTCCTACCTGAAAAAATTCATGGCCTTCTCAAAACCTGAAAACAACTATTAATGCATTAATCAAAATCATTCAAGCAAAAGGATAGAAGAGAAAAAAGATGAACTTTCCAGTATTAGCATAATTTATGTTAATTCTGCAGAAAAAAATCCCTTTTGCAAAAATATCGCAAATTTTTAACTAAAACCTAGAAAAGGTTCCTATGGAGAAAAATTTATCATATTAGGAAAGATTACAGAGACTAGAGTCAGAAATGAAATTCTCATACAACCCAAAGTTGGGGGGCAGGGAGAAGGGGGAGACAGAAGGGATAAAGAGGAACGGAGAAGGGAAAGAAGAAATGCTTCTTGCCAGAGCTATTTTAGAGGAGGAAAGGCAATTTAAGGTGGGAATTAGAACTTCCTTAAATCTTTATTGTTCATCCAGAAAAGACAACAGGTTCACGTTTACTTTTATTTTCAAATATTTTCTTAGGCAATCAGCAAAAGCTGTTCCTATTTTCAACTTGCTATTTAAGTTTTCCATGGACATTATGCTAAACATTTGACTAAACTCTTCACTTAATCCTCAAAACCCCCCTAATGAGTTATATACCAAGAACTCCTTTCCACAGATAAGGAAATTGAGGCCCACAGAAGTTAGATCACTTGCCTGGAATCACACAGCTTTGGGGCAGGACCAAGATTCAAACCTAGGTTTATCTCATTCTAGAACTAATGCTCTAACCATTATAGCCCCTAAACTGACTCTCCCAATTATCTTCTTCAAATGATATCATCTCACCCACTTTAACCCACTCCACAGAACTTTTTCCACTCCTGTAAGGCCTGAGTGACCCATTATTTACATCTATTCAAAAGAGAAATGAAGGAAACTTGCTAAAATGAATGAACACCATCAACACACAGCTCTACTGAACTGAATACATGAAGTCTGCCAAAATAAAATCCCTAAAACACACACAACTTTAGAGTAACTACTCTGCTAGAACATGGAACTATTCTGGCAAAATCCATAGTAGCAACATTTCCCAAAGTGTGAAAAAGGATGATTACCGCTGCTATGTAGAAGGATAAAAGGACTCATGGTCAAATCAGCTTGGGGAAAAAACTTAAACCAACGTAAATAAGTTTCTTTCCTGTAAGACATTTTTTTGTATTTAACATGCAAATATTAAATGTAAACTTTTAAAATACAATGAGCAGTTTTCTTATTTGATTAAACTTTTTTTTTTTCATGGAATATTTACCTCTTGGGATTTGTATTTGGCAGGCTGCATTTTGGAAAACACTTTAGAGCCTTCATAAACATTGTGAGAAATGAACCTTTCCTTTGAGGAAAATCCAATACCTGGTACACAGCAGGTATCCCAAAAATGTTTAATAAGCTGAATGAACAATCCATCATTCTAGTGATGCAGTCCTGCTATAACACAAGCCTAAAGCAAGCTGCACATTGTCGATACCCAAATCCCAATCTTAAGTATACACCTTTCGTTATATGTAACATCCGCTGCCATCAAACAAGGTTGCAACCCAAAGACAGACCCCCAAAAAATCCTACCTTAAGCAGAACATGATTTCTTTTGACAGGTGACTTTCCTCTTTATCCAATCACATATCCTTCCCACTCCTAAGATTTACATCAATTTCCAGCTAATGTTGAATGTCCCAAATAGGACACCAAAGCACAAGATTCTTAGTGTCAAACAACATTTAATAAATGCTGATTACTCACTTCACTCAATCCTTCCTGACTTCAAACTGGGTCAGTAAATTCCTCCACATGGCAATACTTTAGAGAGCTGTGCTCTATTCTTTCACCTTTTGTGATACCTTCTACTTTGTATCTTCAATTATTACCTCTAAGCTGCTGGCTCAAACCTTCATCTATATCTTTACTTCTCCAGAAGCCCAGGCCCTTATTTCCAACCGCCTACTAGAATTACAGGAGAAACTACATGTGCCCCATGCTCAATTTGGTAAAAACCAATTTACCAACAAATTTCTCCCCAACAAATCTGTCTCTCGTCCTCTGTTCCCTATAAAAGGTTACGGCATCACCATTTTCTCAATCAAACTCAAAATGTTGGTGCTATCTCTGATTCCTACTTGTTCTCCTCCCCTCTCTGCCAACAATTTGAGGCAGTTACCAAGTACCAGAAAATCTATTTCTAAAATGACTCTCTTATCTACCCATTCCGTTCTATTCCTACATTGTAGCCATGCAGGATTATTACAATTTTCCTTCCTGGCAGATTTCCAGAACCTCTGCCAAATGGTCTCTCCTTCACATTGCCATCAGAGAAATGTTGCTATAACACAATTTTAATCCTGTCGCTGTCATTCAAAAATGGTCTATGACTTGCTATCAACTTCAAAAACATCCAAGTTATTTGGCATGGGCTTCAAGTCTCTCCACATCCAATCCTGGGTAAACTCTCCAGGCCCACCATTGCATAGCACTCCTTATAACGGATACTCAGAAAGCCCTGAATGTAACCGCCATTCTCCTGTGTCACCATTCTTGCCACCTAGAATAAGCATATTATAGAAAACAGATTTTAGAGTCATAGAGACGCAGACATCAGGGTCACAGAAGGACTGCTTGGGAAACAGCCTATCTCTGAAGTGCATCTAAAAGCCAACACTGGGAACAAGACGATTCAGCCCTCAGACCCTGATGAAAGTTCAGCTTACCTTCCTTCCCTCAATATAGTTGATGCCTTAGGTAACCATAGCCCAGATGAACTGGATTCTGTCTTATCTTTCTATTCTACCTGTGGACATATGTGTAAATATGAATCGGCAACATTGTTTCATGTTCTTTTTCCAGGAAACTCCTCAGATCCCATGTGAACGTACTAAAATAATTAAGGGTAGGAAGGGTGGTAACAGTCTTCATTTGCTCATCTGCACTTAGGCTTGAGACACATTCTGCAATAGCTACTTAACACCCACTCTGCCTCAGGCTATACAGCACAGTAGGAAAGTCTATGGAGCCAGACTGGATTCAAATCCCACGTCCTATTTACCAGCTGCATGACATTGAGGCATATTTCATAGCCTCTCTGACCCTCAACTTCTGACCCATTAAATAGGGGTAAGGCCATAATCCCTTAACCAAAAACCCTTGGGTCAAGATGTGGTTTGAATCCAGAAAATTTTCTAGATTTTGGAAAGGTAACACAATACATATTAATACTATTAAAAAAAAAATCCCAAGTGGAATCTAGTCAGCACACAATAAAACGCTTTCACACTTCTGCATCAAACTATGAACATATGCACTTGTTAGGATAAAGAAAAAAGAGCTTCAAGTACGTTCAAGTCAGATTTTTGTCACAAAATGCATTTATCACAAACTAACCACAAACTTCTGAGTTTGAGGTTTCAGAACTGTAGAAAAAAGATTTGTAGCATTTACTCTATAGGACCATAATGAGAATCAACCAAGCTAATACATACCAAGTACTTGGAAGAGCACCTGGCGTACAGTAAGCGCAAATCAGAGTAACTTATTTTTATGTGCAAGGTACCTGTCAGGCCTCCCAAGAGTATTTTAGTCCATCTAGGCTGCTATAAGAAAAATATCACAGGCTGCATGGCTTATACAACACTTTTCACAATTCTAGAGGCTGGGAAGTCCAAGATCAAGGCACCTGCTAATTCAGTGCTCCATGAAGTCCCTCTTCCTGGTTCACAGAAGCCTGTCTTCTCACTGTGTCCTCCCTTACAAGGCAAAACAGGTGAGAAAGCTCTCTGGAGTCTCTCTTATATATGCGGTCACTGATTCCTTTCATGAGAACAGCACCCTCCTGACCTAATCATCTCCTAAAGGCCCCCACCTCCAAATACCATCACATTGGGAATTAGATTTCAACATATGAATTCTGGGGTGATACAAAGATTCAGTCCATAGCACAGAGATACAAAAATGAATAAAAATTATTTCTTCCTCTCAAAATGGTAAACTAAAAACATCTAAGCTCTGAAAGGGTACTAAAGGCATCTAAGCTTTGGAAGAATATTATTATAAGTACAATAGTAGCTAGGAAGTATAAAATGATTACATGCCAAGCACTGGTGCTAGATTTTTAAATGAAATATATATTATTCACAAGCATTCTAAGATAGACACTATTATCCCCATCTTATCATGTCCAAAAAGAAGCTGAGAGAGGTGAGGTAATCTACCCAAGATTAAGTAGTGGACCCATTATTTAAACCCAAGCATTCTGACTTGAAGGTCCATGCTCTTATTCATAACCTTATACCATCTCCTAGTTATGTGTCAAGTCTTGACCTATAAAATTGGGAACCATGGTGCATGAAGGGCAACAAAATCTGCCAGTATTCCTCTACTTCCCTAACAATGACATTTTACCTTGCACATCATAATCTAACAATGCCAACAAAACAAAATCCAAACTTACCAAATGTTGCAGTATGATATCAGTTCTTTTGAATGAATTAAACCTGAAATAAATGTAGAATACAATGAACACAGTAACGTTGGTAGTCATGTCTCAATGTATAAATACCATATTTCCTTTTGTTCTAGCCTCTTCTAAAAGGTATTACAAAAAAAAATGAATTTGGAACAAAAAAGGGTAGAGATTCTTTTCCCACTGTATTCTGTTCAAGGTATTTCCCCCCAAAATAAATCGAAAACCAAAGTAGGAGAAGGGAACTCAAAAAAAAACAGAGCAACTGAACACAAGAGGTGGGGGAGTTGGGAAGACTGTAACTTGCTCCAGGGGCCTGGAGAAAATTTAAAAAGGTTAGAATCCATTAGAGTTCCATCAATCCTTTCTCATTCATCCTCCTCCCCTTCCTCCCACTCATCATCATGTTCATCTCCTTCATCATCATGTCAAGAACCAAGTAGCACTATAATGGATTTGGCCAAGTATCATCTTTGATGACCTCTCCTGAACTCATCTGCACCTCCATCAGAATCATCAGTAAACCAGAGAAAGAGCTCTCTGGGTCTCTCATGCTCTCTCTTCCTGCTGGCTTTATTCTGCATTTAACTTGAACATTTTGTCAGGTGCTTTCTAGATTTCCATTTGATTTCAGTGGACTTTGAAGATGGATCACCACTCTCATTTGGATGAAATTCTTTGGAAAGAACTTTATTTTCAAAGTAAGGTTTTCCATCAAAATAAAGATCTATTCTGTAACCTGATTTAATATCTTCAAATTCTGTCACTTCAACTCTTGTCAAATAATGCAGTGCAGACAGTTGTGGATGAGTGACAAATGTTAACCCAAAAATGTAGGATTTGGACAATCAATTCCAACCTCTTCTGAAAAAAGTGGTCAGCAGTGTTGTATGTCTATTCTACTTTCAAAATCTCATTGGCTTGTTCAAGTCTACTGCTTTCTGTACTTCATTAATGTATTCAACTGCTCCTTGCTGTTATTTTTCCGAGGTCTCATGGGCTCCACTGTCGTTGAAGTTGAGTTCCTTTTTATTGACCTTGGTGGGGTTGGGGATGGGGGAGGCAAAGGGTGCAGGCAGCAACTTGGTCCAGTCGCCTCTAGTAATATTTTATAAACGGTCATCTATACAAAGCCAATAAAAATATTTATTTAAAAATATATAAATACTACTTATGATATGGAAAGTAGTCATGATAGAAATTACAAAAGAAAGCAAGCTATAAAATATAACACACTTCTAAGTTTTGTTAGGCTAGGCATACAAAGCTTAAGACACAGTTTGGCAAAAGTGATCGGTAATAATAGAAGTCAAAATGGTGGAGAATGGGGGAAGTTGGGGGGGGCGGGCAGGAGGAAATCTGGAGTGGCAGAAATTATCTCTATCCAGATGATGGTTACAGGACTGTATACATATGCAAAAGTTAACTGAGCTACAGACTTCAGAATAGTACATTTCAGTACTTCATGTACATTACAATTAAATAAGTAAAAGCAGCATGGGGGTGGGCAGTGACTAGAAGGGGCATGAGGAGGGCCTCTGAGATGCTGGTACTATCATTTTTTTCTTGATCCAGGTGCCAGTGAAATGGATACGTTCGGTTTGTGAAAATTCATCAAATTGTATTTTTATGCTCCGGGTTTTTTAAGATTTTATTTGACAGAGAGAAAGAGCGTGAGCACAAGCAGAGGGAGCAGGAGAGGGAGAAGCAGGCTCCCCACTGATCAGCGAGCCCATTGCAGGGCTTGATCCCAGGACCCTGGGATAATGACCTGAGCCAAAGGCAGACGCTTAACTAAGCCACCCAGGTGCCCCTACGATTCAGGCCTTTTTAAAAAGTCCCCCAAAAGATATTGCTCTTGCCTTCAAGCAATAAAATGCATATAAAAATAGTGTTATTAAGATATACTGGGATGCATGCTAAACAAGTGAAAGTTGAGATGTATGAAGTCAAGTCAAAGGTGGAACCTGTAGCAGCAGCAGGCTGATTAAGGACCATGCACATGTATAGATACATATACTATCAAAGGGAACTCATAAATCACCAATTTACTAATTTTTCAAGGATACTTTGAGAGTTGAGGGACAACTGTTTAGCTGAGCCATGAAAAAAAGGTAATATGCCCATTGTCACCATTGTAGCTACATTTTAGGTGACTGAATTTATAAAAATATTTGTAATACATCTTTCCAGGAGTCTTACTTTCCTCTTATATTACATTTAAATTGATTACTACTACCCCCCCAAAAAAGGGAAATCGCTGATTTGTTTAAATCAGTCACACTTCACATTTCTAGACTAGCATATTTTGAATTTGTCTTACCACAAGTAAAATATTCTAGCCCAGTAATTCCATAACTTGTCTGCACATTAGAATCACCTGGAACCTCTAGGGGCGCCTGGGTGGCTCAGTTGTTAAGCATCTGCCTTCGGCTCAGGTCATGATCCCAGGGTCCTGGGATCGAGCCCCACATCGGGCTCCCTGCTCAGCAGGAAGCCTGTTTCCCCCTCTCTCACTCCCCCTGCTTGTGTTCCCTCTCTCACTGTGTCTCTTTCTGTCAAATAAATAAAATCTTTAAAAAAAAAAAAAAAAAAGAATCACCTGGAAACTCTAATAAACATTCCAAAGCCCAGGTCACACCCAAGACCAGTTAACTCAAACTCTGGAGGTGGGACACAGGCATAAGTATTTTGTTTGAAGCTCCCCCAAATGATTCCAAAGCACAAACAAGCTGTCATTAAAATCAATATTTTATAAAAATTAAACTGAAGTGACAGATACTAGCTTATTTGGGGTATTTTCTAAATAGGGATTTCATATAGACTTTTAATATCTGAGCTATATTTATCCTGAAGCACCTTTTTTTAAAAATTTTTTTGAACTTAAAAACTTCCGAAAAGATAAAATTGAATTAAGAATGAAAAATTTAAGCACTAATTTCTTTAGATCCAGAATAACCCAGAATTCCCTAATGAGACCGGTACCCAAACGCCAGTTCAAGGTTAAAGACCGTGCTACCAGACTGGCAAGTCTTTTCCAACAGCTCAAGCACCACCTATGGCATAGAGACACACGGACCTGGCTTCAAGTCCTACTTTCATTCGTGAGATAGAATTTTAGCTCATTCAAAGAAAGTTCATGTAAACCTACCACATGCAAGTGCACAGCACTGTGCACAGCATTTTAAAGATCCCAAAAGCTCTGGACCAATTGCTAAAAAACAGAAAAACCTAAGTACAACTAAGTTCCTTACCAGACTCTATAATCATATTAACTTTATTTGTTCCAGTTTCTACTCAACCGTTATTTAAAATCTGCTGTTAACTTTTACATCTCAAAATGTATTTGAGTATTCAGAGTCCCCAAATAATTCTGAATTGAAGGTCTTCCCTTTCCTTCCTGTTGGCTCCAGGACTGCCATCTGGTGGAGGGGAAGAGGACATGCACCTTCCACCTACTGCTAATTTACTAAATCACTTTCTTAGACTTACTTCCTTCAGGTGAGGGTCAACTTATCTGCTTGGGGGCAGCTGTTCTCAAAGTGTGGTTCCTGGACCAGCACCACCAGCATCCCAGGGGCACATGTCAGAAATGCAAATTGTTGGCCCCACCCCAGACGTACTGAATTAGAAACTGTGGGATGAGCCCAAAAATCTGTGTTTAACAAACCCTCCAGGTGAGTCTGATATATGCTGAAGTTAAAAACAACTGTCTTGGAAGGATGAGAACATTATCATTTAGGAGATTTCTGCAATCCTCCAATAAATCACACACGAGTTTACAAAATTAAACAACTTTTCATTGAACTGTTTAAGACGAAATAATGAAAATGGTGCTTAATGAAGATTACAGCAGAAGTAGGCAAGATAGAAGGTGAACAGAACAGAAAAATCAAACCCAAGGCCAAGCAATTCAGGCATGAACTGATGAACAGCAGCTGCAGAAACAAAGGAATGATTTTTAGGAGATATTATGAAGTTAAAACTCAATGAAAAGGAAAAGAACTTTGTTAATAACAATTCTAAGAGTTCAAGCTAGGGCAGCTAAGACGCTATAGGTACTGAAAAAGCTGGCCAGGAAACTAGCTGGTTTGTAGAATGAAATATAAAGTCCATTTTCAGTTTCTTGAGCCTGTATTGACATAAGTGGAAACATTCAACAGCAAGCAGAGAGACTGGAGTTTGAAAGAAAAGTCAGAACTGAAGCTATGTCACAGTTAAATGCACAGATAATCACTGAGGCATAAGAAAGTCTCAGCTGTCCTTGAGGAATGAAAAAGCTGCAGCTGAAAATTAGTGGATGTGTTTTGTCTGGTCAGCAGTGTTTTAAAACCAGACATTTAAAATCAAAAGACTTCACCAAAAAATTCAGTTTCCCAGAAAAAGTAGTAGTCATAGAAACCTTGGGTCTACATTCTATAATGGCAACAACGCCTGCCTGGGGCTGAGAAGCTGGCTCCTTTACACAGAGCCCTTTCTCTAGCTCACAAGTTTCCTACCAGTCCCCACTGCTGTTGTCTAGCCAGCATTACCAGATGCTTCCTTCTTAGCCTCTGCATTTGGGGCTGTGACTCCTAACACAGAAAAAATATAACAGAGAAATCAAATATTGAGCCTTCGGAGACAACTGTGTAGAAGAAAAAGAGGCAGCTCAAGAAGAACCAAAACAGTGTAGTTCAGCCCACTATAGAGCAGATGGAGAAAGCAAGGAGTACTATTAACAACTTAAAAGATCAACCTCTTTGAAGAGCTTCCCGACCCCTTTCTTTCATTTCTAAATCTCTCCTACTTGTCCTTTTCCTTTAAGACACTTATCAGAGTTTGTAACTAAGTATTACTTTTGTTTAAATATTTGTTTCTTGTCTGCTTTCTTTTGGGACTTCAAGGGCCTTAATAAGAAACAAGAGCGAATAGTCCAGCTTGGCTACAAGGTAACAAAAGGGCCTAGAACTCCCAGAAGCTAGAATATAACACTAAGTATTATAGAATTCATTAAGTAAATTAGGGCCAAATCTTTGAAATCAGGCTGGGAAATTTTTATTTAATTCCATAAGTAGGAAGACACCTCTAAGAACTTCTTAGGAGAAGAATGGCAGGCCCTGAAGTGAACTTAGCAAGATTAACCTGGCAGTCGCATGCAGAAGCTATTCAAATTGGGAAGAAGTCCACCATCAAGTTTCTGCAAAATGAACAACTGAAAAATTTGAGAGGATTGTTCAAATTCGAATCAGCATGAAGAGATAAGGATTGGGAGTATGGAAGAACTTAGATAACTTTAAAAATCTAGAAGAATAATAGTTCCACGAAGTTGAAAGTGCAGATGAGTATGGGTTACACTTATGTGCAAATTAACACTTGAGGTGCAAATGAGACATTCAGGTGGTTGTGACTTGCACTATCATTTATGATAAATCAAGGTTAGACATACAAATTTGAGAGTTCTCTTCAGAGAGGTACTTTATTTGGGAACTCCCCCCCAAAATGCCCAGGGTCTGTACTGGTACCATGACAAGACAAGAATTAGTGGAGAGGTACATGGGAAAGACAGTGCCAGAGAGCCAAGGGAGACCAGAGTTCAAGAGGAACTGCCCAACAGTGTCAACCACAGCAGAGAGGCCTTATTTCCTCTCCAAAACACTCTGTGGCACCCTATTCCTTAATACACTTGTGGGTTAGGCTATTGTAGACTAGGTGACACTGGCCTCAGGTCTCTCCTTTGCTAGGGCAATACCCACTCCAAAGCCCTGAAAAAGGCATCCCTCATCAAACCCCTAAACTGGTCCAGGACTCGCCTAATCAGTCTGCACCATAAGATGAGGGGTGGAATAAAGCCAGCCTGAATTCTGGGGATGACAGATTTTTTCCCAAGTCAGTTAATTTTGTTAGCAGGTCTTCCCAATTTGTTTCTCAAATAACTTGGTATTTACTCACAACTTCAAAAAGCAGCAGCAATGACATGTGATTTTCTTAGTATTTGCCGTCTCTCTCTGAGCTGTTCAGAGACACAGGAACAGCTAATTTCGAGGTATTAAAAAAAATGAAGGAAAGCAACTCTTCCATTTTTCTTCATTGATTGAGACCCAGGTCTGTGGATACAATGTTAAACAACCAGAGCTTATCTCTAGAGAAATGACTGTTCTTCTTAAACCAAAGAAACATTTCCATCCTTTTCCCCCAAGGCGAACTTAAAGGCTAAAGAACTCAGCAACTGAAGTTATGGAGTAAATAACACGGTTCTCCCTTCAAGTGGTCACAGCTGCCACCTGAATGCACACGGGCAGGCAGTAGGCCTCAAGACTAACGCAGCCTAACTTCCTAAACTCATTACTACCAGATTTCCTTTGCAGAGCTCAAGCAGCATTCAGCAGCACTTTCAAAAGTTAAACACGATGTTTGCACACACACTCCACCAAGCCACGTTATGTGTCCACAACACTAGCCTGAAAGTTCCACACACCTGGATTAAAGCTGGAGCCATCCGACAGAGCGGAACAATAAAGTCACACCACGAGCGCAGGTGCAACAACTGCCAAAGTAGGAGCGTTTGTTAGCTGCACAAAACATGCCACAAAATTCCTCCATGTTGAGGCCGCCTGGGTGGCTCAGTTGGTTGAGCAACTGCCTTCGGCTCAGGTCATGATCCTGGAGTCCCTGGGTCGAGCCCCGAATCAGGCTCCCCGCTGAGCGGGGAGTCGGCTTCTCCCTCTGACCCTCCCCCCCTCGTGCTCTCTCTCATTCTCTCTCAAATAAAAAATCTTTAACAACAACAACAAAAAATTCCTCCACGTTGAAACCCTGCCTGTCCCCCAAACTATACTCAGCTTTGAAGAAAGGAAATGGGGCTCAAAAGTACATAAAGTAGTGGGGGGGGGGGGGGGCGTCAAGGCTAAATAAGAGCCAGAGGGGCAGAAAACGAAGGGGATGCTGCAAAGGTGCTAAACACAGAGCGAGACACAGAGAGGGGCCGGGCTCAGCTCTAAGAGGGGCGCCTCCAAGCGTCACTAGAAACTTCGAGGCCAGACCGTCCCCACCGGCGCACGACCCTCTGCAACCTCGGCGAGGGCAGCCCAGGAGCCTGCGCTAGACAGCTCGCTCACTCACCTCCACACGAGCCTCCACATCTGCGGCAGCCCCATGGCAAAGACACCCGCGAGCCGAAAGTAGTAGAAAGCGGCGCGCAGGAGAATCTCGTGTAGCCTCACGTCAGACCCACCCACAGCCGCCCCGCTCCTCCCAGCGCCGCCGGACACAGATGACAAGTCCTCCAGGCGGCCAGAGAGGCCCTAGACGGGATGTTTTTCAGCGGCGCGACGCTGAGGGGCGGGGCGAGAACCGCTGCGGGAGGAAATGGATTGAGGGCGAGTGAGAGGATGGGCTGGGGCTTGGCTGGGGGGCGGGGCTGAGGCGCAGGCGGAGGGCGAGGTGGGGCAGGGCTAATGGAGCGGTAGGGAGCAGGAGCCGGCTGAAGAGAAAAGAAATTGTTCTCTAGAGGGTTTCCTGCGTGGCTGAGTAGATTAAGCATCAGACTCTTGGTTTTGGCTGGGATCAGGATGGTCGATCGAGCCTTATCTTGGGCTCCCCTCTCTGGGGAGTCCGCTTGAGATTCTCCCTCTGCCCCTCCCCCCTCTCAAATAAATAAATAAATCTTTACCAACAAAACTGAAAGTTACTGTTATCAGTGAAAGCATAATTATATTCCAAACGTAGCTTACTCTTAAATCAAGATTTATCTTATCCATGAGGAGTCGATTCAGAAGAATGTTTCTCTGTATCCAGATACACCCAGATGTCCAGCAGCAAACATTCCATCACCACTAAAGTATTGACACATTTGTCAGAAAAAAGGAATTCAGTGAAGAATTTCAGAGGGAGGGAAGTAAAAGGAATTAGTCTTAGCAAGTTAACATTTAAGAAGATACTATCAAGGCTTTGATGAAAAATTACTTTTCTAACTTAGGTCAAATATAATTACCAAATGCCTACCGAACAGAAGACAAACAGGCATCAGAGAAGGAACTACTGACCTATAATTCAGTTTTTAACCAGCTCTGGAACATCAATATCTGACATCAGCATCTGACATTGCCATCATGTCTCATTCAGCGTGCCCAAAAAATGAACAGATCATTCAACCCAGCATGGTTTACTGGAAAGCATGAGCTTTCCTGTTAAACAGCCCAAGATTCAAATCTTCCCTGTTCCTGTAGCTTCATGTGCATGGAACCTGCGACTCACAGGGCCCCATGCTTACAAGGGCCCTGTTCTACTTTTAACAATTTTTAAACAAGGTGTCCCACATTTTCTTTTTGCTATAGACAGGTCTACAAATTATGTAGTCGGTCCTGTCCTGTCCCTAGCATGCTAATAGTTTAGTGACCTTGGGCAAATTATATAACCCAAGATGTTTTTCAAAAGTGTTCATATCATTTTGGACTAAGAATTCCAGTTGCAGACAACCCACGGAATAGGAAAAAAAATTTGCAAATGATATATTTAATAAGGATTTTGTACCTAGAACTATTACAACTCAATAATAATTTTAAAAAATCATTCCATTTCAAAGTGGGCAATGGATCTGAATAGACAGTTCTCCAAAGAAGATCTACAAACGATCAATAATCATGTGAAAAAATCCCCAACATGATTAGCCATCAAGGAAGTAAAAATCTTACAACTCAATAATAATTTTAAAAAATCATTCCATTTCAAAGTGGGCAATGGATCTGAATAGACAGTTCTCCAAAGAAGATCTACAAATGATCAATAATCATGTGAAAAAATCCCCCAAATGATTAGCCATCAAGGAAGTAAAAATCAAAACCATAATGAGATATGACTTCATACCCACTAAGATGGTTATAATCAAAAAGGCAGAAAATAGGAAGTGTTGGTGAAGATGTAGAGAAATAGGAATCTTCATACACTGCTGGTGGGAATGTAAAATTTTATGGCCATTTTGGAAAAAATCTAGCAATCCCTCAATTGGTTAAATATAGAGTTACCATAAGACCTAATAATTCCACTCCTATGTACATACCCAAAAGAAATGAAAGTAGTCCACACAAATGTTTATAGCTACTCATAATAACCAAAAAGTGGAGGGCGCCTGGGTGGCTCAGTTGGTTAAGCGACTGCCTTCAGCTCAGGTCATGATCCTGGAGTTCCTGGATCGAGTCCCGCATCAGGCTCCCTGCTCAGCGGGGAGTCTGCTTCTCCCTCTGACCCTCCTCCCCCTCATGCTCTCTGTCTCTCATTCTCTCTGTCTCAAATAAATAAATAAAATCTTTAAAAAATAATAAAATAAAAAATAAAAAAAAAGTGGAAACAACTCAAATGTGTATCAACTGATGGATTTTTAAAAAGTGATGTATCTGGGGTGTCTAGATGGCTCAGTTGGTTAACATCTGCCTTCGGCTCAGGTCATGGTCCTGGAGTCCCAGGATCCAGCCCCACGTCTGGCTCCCTGCTCAGCGGAGAGCCTGCTTCTCCCTTTGCCCCTCACCCTGCTCCTGCATGCACTCTCTCTCTCTCAAATAAATATTTTTTAAAAAAAAATAAAAATAAAAAAATAATTTAAAAAGTGATATATCCAGGGTGCCTGGGCGGCTCAGGCGGTGAAGCATATTCCTTCAGCTCAGGTCATGATCCCAGGGTCCTGGGATTGAGTCCCATATCGGGCTTCCTGCTTAGTGGGGAGTCTGCTTCTCTCTCTTCCTCTGCCCCTCCCCCTGCTTGTGCTCTCTCTCTCTCTCTCAAATAAATAAATAAGATCTTTTTTTAAAAAAGTGATATATCCATATAATGAAATATTAGACAATGAAAAAAATGAACAAAAACTAAACATGCTACAACATAGATGAACCTTGAAAACGCTACACTAAGTGAAAGAAACCAAGCACAAAAGACCACAGCTAACTTCATTAATATGAGCAAATGTATAGAGACAGAAAGTAGCCTAGGGGTCAGAAGGGTTGGTAGAATAATTGGAGGGTACCAGCTAAGAGGTACTGGGTTTCTTTCTGGAGTAATAAAAATATTTTTAAATGTACTGTGGTGATGATTGCCATTGAACTGTATACTTTAAATGGGTGAACTGCATGGTATGTGAACTAGATCTCAATTATAAAATAAAAGAATTCTGGTCGCTCCACATCCTCATCAACATTTTGTGCTGTCCATCTTTAATTTTAGCCTGTTGATTTGTGTCTCACTGTGGTTTTAATTTGCATTTCCCTGGTGTCTAATGATATTGAACACTTTTTTTGTATGCTTATTATCTTCTTTGGTAAAGTGGCTATTCAATTCTTTTGCCCATTTTAAATTAGGTCATCTTTTTATTGTTGTTTGATGTAGTCATTATCTAATGCTGTTACAAATTGCCCCAAGATTCAGCAACTTAAAATAATAAACATTTATTCTCTCTCTCAGATTCTGAGACTCAGGAATCAGAGGCTGAGAAGTGGTTCTGGCTCAGAGTCTCTCCTGAGGTTGCAGTCATGGTGTTCGCTGGGACTATAGTCATCTGAATGCTCAACCAAAGCAGGAGGACCCCCTTCCAAACTCACTCATGGGCTCATTGGCAAGCTTCAGTTCCTCGCCACATGGTCCTCTCGAGAGGGCTGCTCACAGTGTAGCAGCTCCATTTCTCCAGGGTGCGTGATCCAAGAGAGAGAACCACCAAAACAGAAGCCATAGTATCTTTTATAACCTAATCTTGGAAGTGATGGAGCATCACCACCGCCTCATTCTATTGGTCACGCGTACCACACCCAGTACAGCGTGGGAGGGGACTACACCAGGGTATGAATAGGCGGCTGGGATCATTGAGAACTGTTTGGAAGCTGGCTACTACTCTCGAATTTTTTTTCCTTTCTCATTACCAAACAGTCATCAAGGCACGCCAGTTATTTCTTGAAGCATCTCTCAGATTTGCCCCATCCTCTTAACGCCCCACTACTACCATTCTAGTACCCACATGAAACTCATTCCAGATCTAACTTCTCTCTTCTCCCACAATCATCACACCCTTCAATTCACTGACAACAAATCCATGTATCTTTGGCTTATTATTCAGCTGCTAAATCATCTCACAATTGTCCAAAGCTATGTTGTCCAATACTAGACACATGTGGCTATTGAACACTTGAATTGTGGTCCATGCAATGGAGGAACTAAATTTTTCCTTAATTTAAATTTAACAACTGGAGCAGTATAAAATATTTTTAATATTGATTACATGTCAAAATGGTAATATTTTAGACATATTGGGTTAGGGAAATATATTATTAAAATGAACTTCACCCATTTCTTTTTATTTTTTTAGTGTGGCATAGAAAGTTTTAAATTACATATGTGGCATTATTACTGAACAGCAGTGGTCTGTAATATTGAGTTCAAACTGACTGACCTTTGAGGCAACAGAAACAGGGCTCTGCCTTAACTACCCAAATTTATTTCCCATGTAACCTGCCCTCCTCGTTCCTGTCACAGTCTCTCCTGGATATCCCCAAGGACATAGTGTTGATTTCCTGCCTCTGTGCCTTGGCTCACGTGATTCCTCAGGCCAGGAAAGCTGTTCTTCTTTTATCCTCTTCTAAAATTTTTCCATCCTGAAGACCTATCTTGAGTCTTATCTTCCTGCAATAGCCTCTTATTCTAACCTGTACTGGGCTCCTTTTTTTTTTTTCCCCTGAATTTGAGTTATACTTCTAATCAGCATCATATTTCATCACTCATTTCTTGCTTATTTGTTGAATGCTAATTTTCTCTCTCGAATTATACATTCCTTGAGGATAGAAACTGTATCTTATATGTTGTCTGAATTTTTCAAAAACCTAGTGTTGGAAACATGATAAACAGCCATACAAATTTGATATACTAATTAACTAATTAGGAAAGAGATTTTGTATACAAATAACTCTGTGTGTATTTTGATCAGTGTAAACCTGGCACTGGTATGGAAAAATAAGGTTGTAAAATTTATTTGTCAAAACACAGATGCTCCTCGCAGACAAATTAAGTACCCACAACATGTGAGCAATTATCCAGAAGCCAACACCAGCACTGAATGACAAGGAAGTGACTCCTCCTGCTTTTTCCTGTCAGAAACAATGATTGGTGATCAATGAAAGGCTCTGAAAAGCCTGCCAAAAGGTCACTACTGTTGGGTTGGGGTCCCTCAGCACGCCAAGCCCCCACCCCTCACTCCTGACACTAGACAAAGATCTCTTCCAATGCCAGAGATG